CCCAAGGTCGGCAGAGCATGGCAGGCTGCTGAGCAGTGACACAGCTACATGCAGGGTTCAAGCGTGCCATAGGCTACAGACCATTCCCAAAGCTGCTGCTTATATATAGGAAGCAGACCACATCCCTAAAGCAGCTACTCAGCTGCTTGTGGTAGATCCCACCATGGAGTTGACTACCAGTCTCATCATAACCAACACCAGGTGGCCAGCCACTCAACCAGGCCCAGCCAAGTTGACACACAACCACCACAATATCCATCACATACCTTTGTTTATTCAACTATTTTATAGGTGTACAACTTATTGATAACAATTATATTAATCATCTTCTAATCTTCCTTTAGTACATTTTACATAGTGATAAGAAAGAAATCCTGCTGGATATAGAACTTACTCCCAATTCTTCTGACATTTTTTATCTGATATCCTATGTTCCATGTACTCTGTAATCATCAGTTTTAATGGCTGCAAAAAGTTTCATGGTATCTGTATAGTATAATTGGCTTGGAATTCCTAGGTGATGCAAATGGCTAACACACTTAGTTGCTAACCGAAAAGAATGATGGCTCAAGTCCATGCAGAGGTGCCTTTGAAGAAAGGCCTGGCAACCTACTTCCAAAATATTAGCCATTGAAAACCCTATGGAGCACAGTTCTGCTCTGAAGTACACAGGTCATCATGAATCAGAATCGACTTGATGGCTCAACCAGACTGATGTTGTTGAACTCTGTGGTTGTTTTTAACTTTTCCCCAATATAAGTAACATTTCAAAGAACATCTTTATGCATAAGCTGTCTACATTTCAAGTTATTTCTTTAGGAAAGAAGAATACATTCTACTCATAGATGTTTGAAAATTTAAATATGAAGTCACTACTCTGCTTACAATCCATTAGGGACTTGTCACTGGCACTTACAATAAAATCCAGTCTTTTAAGGAGTTATCATGGTCTACACAAGGCCGTGCTTGGCCTGATCCTTCCTACTTCTCCTACCTCATCTCGTATACCTGTTGTTCCCATCATCCACTAAATTAGAGTGCTACCAGTTTCCTTTTTGTTCAAACAAACCAAGCTTTACATTTGTGATTCCCTCGGTCTGAAATGTACAATCCCAACCACCTAATGCTAGCCAACTTCTCCCCCTTCATTCACATTCTGAGCTTAAGAGAGGTCTTCCTTGGACCACCCTTTCTAAAGCAGACCACTCCTATCACAAGCTAAGTTCACTCATTTATTTGCTTTGCTGCTTATTATCTGTCACTCCTCCTAAACTTTTAAACTCTGTAAATTTAAAGGACCTAGTAGGTGCTCATTGAAAGTGCTAAAGAGCAAAGATGTCTCTTTGAAGACTAAGGTACACCTAACCCAAGCCATGGTATTTTCGTTCACCTCATATGCATGTGAAAGCTGAACAATGAATAAGGAAGACCAAAGAAGAGTTGATAGTTTAGCGTTGTGGTGTTGGCGACGAATACTGAAAGTACCATGGACTGCCAAAAGAACTAACAAATCTGTCCTAGAAGAAGTACAGCCAGAATGTACCTTGGAAGCGGGAGTAGCCAGACTTCATTTTATCTACTTTGGTCATGTTGTCAGAAGGGACCATTCCCTGGAGAAGGATATCACGCTTGGTAAAGTGGAGGGTCAGCAAAAAAGGGGAAGGCCCTCAACAAGATGGATTGACACGGTGGCTGCAACGCTGGGCTCAGATATAGCAAGGATTGTGAGGCTGGTGCAGGACTGGGCAGTGTTTTGTTCTGTTGTACAGAGGGTCACTATGAGTTGGAGCTGACTTGACAGCACTTAACAACATGCGGTGTAGTAAATTACTTAGTGTGGCTTTTCTACCCATAAGTCTTTGTAAACTCCAAGGTGGGATTTGCTATGAGCAACTGAGGAGCTCCTGATTGCT